CCCAGATAAGTTTGTATTTTTAGTAGAGATGGGGTTTCTCTGTGTTGGTCAGACTGGTCTCAAACTCCTGACCTCAGGTGATCCACCCACCTCGGCCTCCCAAAGTGCTGGGATTACAGATGTGAGCCACCACGCCCAGCCAAAAATTTATATTTTTAAAGTGAAAGCTAACTTCTAATTTTGGAAATTTTTATTGGGAGCAGGATATTATAATAATAGTCTTTAGTTATTACACCATTAAACATCAAGGTTTTTTACGTTGTTTCTATGCCTCCTCCCTCAAAAAACACCTCCTACAATAAAACTGAAAAATTGCGCAAAGATGTATTAGTGGAAGACCACTGCTTAATTTACACCAATGAAGAATATAAAGCAGAGAAGTGCTCCTTGGGGCAAAGGCAATTGGCAGAAAGCTGAAGAACATTTTCATAATGAGTTAGAAATACAGATCATCAGGAATATCCAGGAAGCGTTAGTGATTGCCAGGCAGGCCTAAGAGACAGGAAACATTTAGCATGTTGGTAAACCATTTTAGCACATCAGCAAAAGCATATAAACAGCTTTAGGACTGGAAATTATTGCCATGGGGAAAGGCAACAATTAGAGGAACAATTCCAATTAAAAATGTAAGGATTGGTTCTTTAGATTAATTCTTGAGTTGCTCCCCTATGCCTGTGTAGCAGAATCTAACAGATAATCATGTTAAACAGGAAATTATATTTTAAAAATAAACTCTGAAATTCATAAAAAGGAAAATGTTAAAGAATGTAAAATTACACTGGTAGAATTTTTTTTTTTTTTTTGAAAATGAAGTTTCACTCTTGGTGCCCAAGCTGGTGTGCACTGGCATGATCTCTGCTCACTGCAACTTCCACCTCCTGGGTTCAAGCAGTTCTCCTGCCTCAGCCTCCCAAGTAGCTGGGATTACAGGCACGCGCCACTACGCCTGGCTAATTTTTTGTGTTTTTAGTAGAAATGGGGTTTCACCATGTTGACCACGCTGGTCTCGAACTCCTGACCTCAGTTGATCTGCCCACCTCGGCCTCCCAAAGTGCTGGGATTACGGGCATGAGCCAATTGCGCCTGGCAGACATTTTTTAAAATAGAAAAAAATAGTCCATTCATGATGCATGAATTAAAGAAAATATTGGTAACGTGTATGGTAACAGATCAGTAACTGAGAACCCAAAGGCTGCCCCAGGTTGCTTCCAATCCTGGTTCTGCCATGTTCCAGCTGTGTGACCTTGAGCAAACTACTTACCCTTTGTTTCAGTTTTTTCACCAGGAAAATGGGTTTTAATAGGATTGTTGTGTGGATTTAGTTAATAAGGAAAGTGTTTAGAACAGGCTTCCAAAATAGTAAGTGTTGTATGTGTTAGCTATTATTAATACATCCCAAATTTCCACTAAAGAAAATCTTCCCGAATTTGTATATGGGATTGTCAGAAAACAAATGGAAAAATCATAGTATAAACAGCCTATATGGCTGTAAAGGATTACACAAAACACATGATCTTTCTGAAGTAGTTTTTTTAAAAGAAAAAAAAATAGAACTAACTTCTCCTCCCTTGATTTTCACTTTTTAGAGTGGTGAAACCAGAACAATATCTCACTTTCATTATACTACCTGGCCAGATTTTGGAGTCCCTGAATCACCAGCTTCATTTCTCAATTTCTTGTTTAAAGTGAGAGAATCTGGCTCCTTGAACCCTGACCATGGGCCTGCGGTGATCCACTGTAGTGCAGGCATTGGGCGCTCTGGCACCTTCTCTCTGGTAGACACTTGTCTTGTTTTGGTAAGTGCTTCTTGCGATCTCATTTTAATCTCATTGATTTTTTTTTAAATTGCTTCCACTGGCAAGGAATAAGCACCGATGTTGTATCATAGAACTGAGGTTTTTCAACTTTTAACTTCTACTTTTGGAAAAACCTAAAAATCTCATTTCCATGTTTGCTACTGCGTCTTATTCATGACTGGTAGAAATGTATCCAAGATGATTTTAGAGATTCCTAAGAAGATGTTTTTCTTCCTGGTAGCTTTATATTACAGAAATAATAGGTCTCTTCCCCTCATTTTTTCAAATATAAATTCATATGTAATACTGACTTCCTCCTCAGACAAATACTTTATCTCATTTTTTTTAATTTAAAAGCTAGGGATAATGATAGACATATTTCACAGGGTTGCTGTGAGAATTCAATGAATTAATACATTAAGGGACACTTAGAAGGTCCCTGGTGTTTTCTGAGCGTTCCATAAATGTCAGTATTACTGTTACTCGCCTGAGGTTCCTGTCTGTGCCCCCAAGGGCTAATTCTTTCTGCACCAGTCAATCCCAGTCCCAGCCTGTATACAGCCTAAATCTTTTTTTCTCTTTTTAGGACCTTTATTTTTTCCTTACTGGCCTCTTTCCCACCATCTTTAGATGGGTGCTGTGTATCCAGACATCGTGTCTGTAGTGCAGACATGAAGGAGGCGGAAGGGCAGTGAGCAGAAAGGTTGACTCCTGCCATGACTTAAAAAAAAAAAAGTCCTTATACTAGTCAGAACTGATTATAAATCTTTCCTTTAACCAGTGACTGGCCAGAAGTAATGAGATTACTATGACTGGTTTGGAATCAAGTGTGAATCAGCTGAAGAATCAGAGTCCTCCATCTGCTTGAGTGGTTGAGATGTGCGAGGGATGAGAGGCTGGGATAGTTGCTGTGTGTGTAACAGTTACAGCTCCAGGGTTAAATTATCGCTGTTCTTTCAGAGGAGAAAATGCAGAGCAAAAGTCTTAGCAATGATCCTGCATTGATTCTGTTTCCTGGGTTCCAATAACCAAAAATTTGTCTGATATTTGCCTTTCTTGCAGATGGAAAAAGGAGATGATATTAACATTAAACAAGTGTTACTGAACATGAGAAAATACCGAATGGGTCTTATTCAGACCCCAGATCAACTGAGATTCTCATACATGGCTATAATAGAAGGAGCAAAATGTATAAAGGGAGATTCTAGTATACAGGTAAACTTTATACACGTTTAAAATCATGTCTATTTGTTAAATACACATAGCATCAAATAACTGCACTCCACTTGAGCCCTTGTCTTTGTTTCAAACAGTACGTTTGAATTTTTGTGGTAAATCCAGTTGGCTGTCTGAAAATTGTAAAATTTTAGCTAGCTTCCTCATATGTACTCAGCCTCAGGTTAAATCCTGTCTGTTACTTAAAAGCCGTTGTAGAAACAAGATTTCATTAAAGAAACTGAATTTTTCATTTTGGGGGTGGTTACGCTTTTAATTATTAAAGTAGCTGGAAACTTCAGATACTTTTGCCTCCATTACACACTAATACTTGGTTTATATAATATTTGACTTTATAACAAGCAACTTGAATATTTATGGCAGATATAATGAAATTCCAGCAAAATGTTACATTCTTCTGGTTGATGGCTTTATTCTCATGAAGCTATTTTTACTGCATATTTGTAGAACCTAAATTCAAAGACTGATCAGAAGTTTGTGTTATGCGGCCTGGCGCGGTGGCTTAAGCCTGTAATCCCAGCACTTTGGGAGGCCGAGGCGGGTGGATCACGAGGTCAGGAGATCGAGACTGTCCTGACTAACATGGTGAAACCCCGTCTCTACTGAAAATACAAAAAACTAGCCGGGCGTGGTGGCGGGCGCCTGTAGTCTCAGCTACTTGGGAGGCTGAGGCGGGAGAATGGCGTGAACCCGGGAGGCGGAGCTTGCAGTGAGCCGAGATCCGGCCACTGCACTCCAGCCTGGGAGCACAGCGAGACTCCGTCTCAAAAAAAAAAAAAAAAAAGAAGAAGAAGTTTGTGTTATGCATTAAGTTAAAATGTAAAATAGAAACAACCACAGACTCCATTTTTTGTATGGTTTAATCACATCGTATTGGACGTAAGCAGATACTGTAAATTGATGTGTAATATAAGATAGACTGACTTTTCATTCTATTTCTCATATGTGAACATATTTACTAGCACTTTCATTTCTATGATTACTAGCCAATACAGGACTATAACTTAGACCCTTGGTGTCAGAATAAAGGTTTATTTTAAAAGATTTTTTCCAAATCTTTAAATAGCATTAAAATATTCTTAATGAACATAAACCTTAGGGTACTCAGAGCCAAAATACTCAATGTGTGGAAAACTCAGCCCACAGAGCATGTCGTGCTTCAGACACTAGACTTTGGGAACACTGGGTTTCCTGGGATTACTTTGGCAGTGATCAGTGATTTAGGTGAAGTAAAAGTTATTTCAGATGTTTAAGATTAGGAAAATTTCCCTTTCTAATCGCAGTGAGCTTTCACCAACTTAAATCTGGAGTTCAAAAAGAAAATCAAGTAGTTCAGTCAGATTTCCCCATGCCTTCACAGCCTGCATGCCGCCCTCACAGCCTGCTTCCTGGCTGTGGTGAGGTGGGTCACTGGGAGGGAAGTGTATGGTCCTTTGGATTGTGTCTTTCCTACCAGTGCTTTTTTTTAAGTTTTGTATCTTTAGTTTTAGAATACATGCTTTATCTGAGGATGGATCCTTTTTTATCACAGAGATCAGTTTTTCTGGACACTTTTTTGTGGAGTCTTTGACAGTGCAGTTTGTGGCTAGGAAGGATTTTTTTCTGTTAATTTATCTGGTATGGTAGAGTCCTCAGACTCTCAATTCTACAGCATTTTCTGCCCCTGTTCCAGATAGGACATTGGAAACATCTTTGTCCTTCAGGTACTCAGGATCAGAAAAGCCTGCTACCCCTTCCAAGGGGTTAATTTCTGCAGAAATGGTTGTGGCATTCGGAGAATCTCTGTCTTTTAATTGGTGCATTTAGACCATTGGCATATGAAGTGATTACTGATAAAGTTGGATTAATACATACATACCACACGTGCTACTGTTTTTTTTTCTTTTTTTGAGACACAGTTTCGCTCTTTTTGCCCAGACTGGAGTGCATGGCGTAGTCTCGGCTCACTGCAGCCTCCGCCTCCCAGGTTCAAGTAATTCCCCCTACTCAGCTTCCCGAGTAGCTGGGATTACAGGTGCCTGTCACCACTCCTGGACTAATTTTGCATTTTTAGTAGAGATGGGGTTTCACTGTGTTGGCCAGGCTGGTCTCCAACTCCTGACCTCAGGTGATCTGCCTGCCTTAGCTTCCCAAAGTGCTGAGATTACAGGCGTGAGCCAACGCACCCAGCCCAAAGTGATTGTATCTTAAGTCCGTAAATATGTATAATTATAATCTTAAAGTATGTATTCATTTACAGAAAACTTTCAAGGACCTTGACATTCCTGTAGATATATAGGCTATTTGTAATTGCCTTTCAGCACAAGGTCAGGCATAAATACTTAAGCTGGTTGCTGGTATTACCACATATTGATTAGCAAATTCCCAGTATTGATGACAGTAAACCTCCCAGAGTAAATATCTAGTTTGGCAATTCAGAACTAATGTTGTAAGATCTACAAAAAATTAGCTGGGCGTGGTGGCACATGCCTGTAATCCCAGTTACTTGGGAGGCTGAGGTAGAAGAATTGCTTGAGCCCGGGAGATAACGAGTGAGGGCTCAGGAAATGTAGTATCTTCTAGTTGAGCTGAGATTGTGCCACTATACTCTAGCCTGAGTGAAAGACGAGACTTGGTCTCATGGAGAAACCCTGTTTCTACTGAAAATACAAAATTAGCCAGGTGTGGTGGTGCCTGTAATCCCAGCTACTGATCTACTACAGGCACGCGCCGCCACGCCCGGCCTAATTTTTGTATTTTTGGTAGAGAAGGGGTTTCACCATGTTGCCCAGACTGGTCTCAAACTCCTGATCTCAAGTGATCCGCCCACCTCGGCCTCCCAAAGTGCTGGGATTACAGGCATGAGCCAGTGTGCCAGGCATGCTTTTTTCTTTTTAATACCTCTGGTACATGATGACAGTGAGACAAATTAGAAACTAGTTTATCCATTCTATGAATGGATTTCCCAGAGACTTTTTAAAGATCTAAATACAAGCATTGCTTTTAACAGTACCATATTGCACAAGAGTAACTCCAGGGAATGAATGTTCCATAAGTTCCAAAAAACTGTAAGTTGCAATATTACATCTCTGTTTAAAATCATTAAACTCCTCGGGCAATAAGTAGAGTATTCCTTATTATTTTTTTGTTGTTGTTGAGTCGGAGTCTTGCTCTGTTGCCCAGGCTGGAGTGCAGTGGTGTGATCTTGGCTCACTGCAAGCTTCTCCTCCTGGGTTCACACCATTCTCCTGCCTCAGCCTCCCGAGTAGCTGGGACTACAGGCGCCCGCCACCACGCCCGGCTAATTTTTTTTTTTGTATTTTTTAGTAGAGACGGGGTTTCACCGTGTTAGCCAGGATGGTCTCGATCTCCTGACCTCGTGATCCGCCCACCTCAGCCTCCCAAAGTGCTGGGATTACAGGCGTGAGCCACCGCGCCCGGCCAAGTATTCCTTATTAATTAGATCCAAGACTGCTTGCTTCCTGGATAAGATCTTCAAAGAAGGCCATCCCTGTCCATACCGAGTCATTTGGGCCAGTGTAGTCATAGTTAATCAAAACCATTGGCTCCCACTGCTTCTACCTGTACCACCTGCCACTGGCAGATACGTAGATGGTGGTCATGTCCTCATCCTTTCAAGGACTCGAGAGACTGTAGTCGCAGTGTGTAGCTTATATATGCCTTTTTCTTCTCTGGCTTGTAAGTTGTCGCTGCTTTCATCTGCAGGGCCCAGATGCACTCTTCTTCCTCTACCTTCATCCCTAGGAATGGTGACAAGGGAGGAAACGTAGTATTTTCTAGACATGATGCTGGGCTCTTCACATGCCATCTCATTAGTTACAGCTGTCTCCCAGGGTAGATGATGACATCCTCTTTCGTAGAAGAAACGGAAATTTCTCTTCATTTTGGTCCGAATCCTGGTTTGGGTTGCCGTATACTCCTGAAGTCCATGCTAGAGGCATGCTGGAGGGTGTTTCCCTAGCCCAGTGGTGGGCTAGCCAGCCTCCTGGGGCTGCTAGTGTACCTGATATCACAACCCTGATAGTTAAAGTCCTTTAGCGTCATAAGGACCTACTTGGAAATCTCACTGTTGGTTCCGCCCTAGACTGAACAGTGGCAAGGAGCAAGAAGGTTCCAGATCACATTCAAGCACCACTGTGGTCAGTACTCCAGTGTTACATACCTGTGGATTAGAAATGGATTAAGATTCAAGCAAAATCTACCTTGGCTGAAATCTTTTTTAAAAAATTTGTGGTTTTTGTGCAGTGCCACTGTATTTTTTTATTTTTTTGTTTTTTTGTTTTGTTGTTTTATTGAGACGGAGTCTTGCTCTCTCGCCCAGGCTGGAGTGCAGTGGTATGATCTCGGCTCACTGCAACCTCTACCTCCCGGGTTCAAGTGATTCTCCTACCTCAGCCTCCCAAGTAACTGGGACTACAGGTGCCCACACCACACCCAGCTAATCTTTTGTACTTTTAGTAGACATGGGGTTTCACCATGTTAGCTAGGATGGTCTCGATCTCCTGACCTCTTGATCCACCTGCCTTGGCCTCCCAAAGTGTTGGGATTACAGGCGTGAGCCACCACGTGCCCCGGCCTTTGTTTTTGATTGACACTTAGTAATTGTACCTATTTATGGGGTTCAGTGAGATATTTTGATACATTTACACATTATGTAATGATCAAATTAGACTATTTAGCACATCTGTCACCTCATACATTTATCTTTGTGGTGAAAACATTCAAAATCCTCTCTTCCAGCTATTTTGAAATGTATTTTTCATTATATATTATTATATGCTAATATATTTCATAGTACTTGAAATATATATGTATATGTAAATATTTCAAAATAGCTAGAAGAGAGGATTTTATGTATATATAAAGTGTGTATGTATATACATTTTTTTTGAGATAGGGTCTCATTCTCTTGTTCAGGCTGGTGTGCAGTGGCACGATCATGGCTCACTCATTGCAGCCTCAACCACCTGGGCTCATGG